TAGTCATCTTCAGTCATATAATTCTACTTTTATATTAATGAGAGAGAGCGAAAAATATAAAAATAAGTAATTAGAACAATTTGAAACATTATATAAGGAATGAATTAAGAATCCATTCTACCTTGCGGCCCGAAAAAGAAGGCGATCTTTGGGAATTTTTTGGGGAAAAGTGATCAAAATCACATACTTCATTGTTTTTACATCTTATTTGTTATACTTTTCTCTTTAATTTGTAATTTTTTGAAGACAATTTGTTGATTGTAAGTCTATACAAAGTTCCGGTGAAGAAGCTTTTCCGATTTGAACATGGTGCTATGGGGAAAGTAATGTAGGTCGCACCAGTCATCTAAAACAATTAAATCAATGATTTTCCTGCTTAAAAAGAATGTCTCTATGGAATAGATTACAATAATTGATCTTGCATGGAAATTAACAAAATGACGGCCATTTGAAATAAAAAGGTTCGATTTTTGGCCTTAAAGTTTGCTCTTATTTTTGCGATAAAAAAAGTATTATTGATATTGATATAATCGTAATCTATTCTATAGAGACATTCTTTTTGAACAGGAAAATCGTTGGTTTAACTGTTTCAGATGACTGATGCGACCTACATTACTTCCCCCATGGCGCCATGTTCAAGTCGGAAAAGCTTCTTCACTGGAACTTTGCATAGATTTACAGTCAACAAATTGACTTTAAAACATTACAAATTAAAGAGAAAAGTACAAATAAAATGTAAAAACAATGAAGTGTGATCTTGATCACATTTCTTTCTTTTTCGAGCCACAAGGTAGAATGGACTCTTAAAATATTGATTTTTTTTATATATTATTAATTTTTATAATGTATATTAATTTTAGAGATATTGATATAAACTTTAAAATCAAAGGTAACAAAGTTTGTTGATGCGTTCTCATAGGTATCACGCAGACTGACGTAAATCAACCAGTCAGAGAATGTGGCAACATAAAAACTGTATATCAATTGACAGTTTTTATATTGTCGTGTTCTCTCTCGCGTTGATTAACTTGTTTGCGTCTGAATCCTCAATAAGACAGCTACGAGAATACATCTAGGTTTTTCTAGATCTTGCACGGTGGCTTGTAAATTGCATTCACATTGATTTTACAATTTTCTTTTTTGTAATTATTGCATTTAGCAAATCTCATTTAGCATATCTTTTTAAAAATTTTTAGAAATCTTTTTTTTAATTCATTGCGTTAATAAAGATAATTATTAAAAAAGGGAATTCAAACATTATCGTACGTTAATTATTACGAATCTGGGGATTAACATTTTATTAATAAGATATTCGGAGAGGCTCGATATTTGTACTTTAGTTAATATGATTTACGTGTTAGATATTATACGTTATCTCATGTATCAAATATGATATATAATTGCACAAACACTTGATTAAATAAGACAAACGAAAGTAAAATCAATTTATCGCGAAGGAACATAATATTAACTCAACACGAGCAAAGTTAGATCAATATCTCGACGTCAATCTACGAAGCGAAAGCTTGATTTAAATCACGTGCAATCCTCTTACCATCATTTCATTAAGAACTTATTCTTGAGAGGTCGATTCGCGGATAGACGGCGAATTAATTCTATTATAATTCCAAGCGGCTAAAGCACGGATTGTCCACGCCAAATTGCCAATATAAAATCCAACTTTCCCTCCATAACGCGAAGTCCATTTGATTTCCGGCCCGTCTTGGCGTCTCGGAAAAAAGTACTTGCTCGCGAATCGCTTAAACTTGGCGCGGCGAGGACATGATCTTCAGGAGGTGAGAGGAGGTATCTCATTTCGTTCATCGTCTCGGGAATCGCACTCCAGGCGAATCGAATTATCCTTCGTCACCGTTCTCGCGGATAAACTTTTTTCCGATCGATGAAGCCGCGCGGCAATACCGCTCGGGAGGAGCATCCCGCTCCGCCATATCCTGGAGGATTCACGGCTCATTTGGCAGCCGAGTTTCGCGAAAATTCCCCGTGGCGTGACGGCTGTGCCGTAGATTGGTTATTGAATAAAGCAATCACCATGAGATCCCATGGAATCGCCCGTTATTCGCCGGCCGCCTTCATAAATGAATGATCGAGCGATATCGGCCTCGCGCGACTCGACGCGCGATAAGGGCGATGGAAAAATAATCTACCGCCCTTTGACACATGGAATGCGGAGCGGGCACGCTCGCGAACGAATTTGTCGGGATTAAATGGCGTTATCGAGCTGAATAGGACATTCTGGACCTACCGAAAAATAACTCAGGGGCAGATCCTTTGTGCGGAAGGTATAATATATCTTCCGATAAACATTTTTTTTTCAGACATCTAACTACGGAGAAAAATTTGATTTTGACAACGAAAACGCAGTTGCGAATATTGATTTTATCCAAGGTTTTGGTTGAAATTCACGAATGCTAAGAAAGTCTATGCAAATTGGAAAAAATAAAGTTTTTTTTCAATGAGATTTTAATTAATATCATATTAATTATACAATCGATTTGTGTAAAAATTAGGTAAACACGAAATCGAATGATGTTTCTTGACTGTTATCTCGAAATTTTATGAGAACATTTATTCAATGGAAATATAGATGATTTTCGTTGTATATTATATTTTATTGATTAGATTTTTCTTCTTATTCCCGTCTCAATTAAACGCGCGACAAGAAGATTACAGGTTCCATTCGAGACATACCTACTCACGGGTGAGCGACTGATGTATTCGCGTCACGACGAAAACCCGGCGTCGTCGTGCCCCCACGACTCGCCCCGTTTTTCTTTTCTCTATTTTTTTTTCGCTTCCACCCCCGTAATCAGGCAGCTCGCGAAAGAAATTCGCATTCATAACTCAAACCGGTTCTCGGCCCCTCTCCGCCATTCCGTTGGTCCTAGCTCCCTTCTTCAGACGACACGTGCGCGTCAGCAAATTGTTATCCCTTCGTGTACACAAGGTTGATTGAACCGCCGCCGATCCTTCCGCGATCCCTCGGTGTTGTACGTGCCGCGGCCGAGCCGAAACTTCGCGCGTATGGACGCGGCCGGAATCTGTGACAGCGTAAATATCTTAGCCGTGAAAAAGATGGATGAATTCGATGATGATCGATTCCTCTCGATAAGACTGCTCGATGAATAATAATAAAAATTATTCATACGTTAAATTGTTGAAAGTATGCGTGTGCCAAGCCGAGATGGGAGGAAGAAATAAAAAGAATTTAATCTTCGTTGCGATATGTATACGCTGCATGAACGACGCGCGAACGAGTGCGATCTCGAAAATCCTGCGGAGAGATAAAACGTTTTCTGTCGCAATCCCAGAATTTTCTCGATACCGCAGCGGGATGGACCACCAGCGACGAGATGTGAGGGAGAAGCTAGATCATCGGATATGGAGGACCTCATAAAACGACACGGCGGGGCGGAACAGTGCTGCAGTAAAGTCTGTATATGTGGCGCGCGTAATGTGGTGTCGGGTACGTCATGAAGCCTGCCGAGATAAAGCGCTCGTAAAAGATGGACGACCGAAGCGCTCTAGTTTAGTTTAAATGCCGTGTATATACCCTCGTACGTATAACGTGTATACACTTCGGGCTATAATGCCGCGCGTCCTTAGAGATGGTCCATCTCAAAGCCACTCCGCCACGGCTCGTAACATTAATGAGATCCGTGGCAGAACGCTTGCACCCTGCCGATTTATCTGGTTCCATCGAAATTATCTATTTTAATGGAATAAATATCCGAGGAATGTCCCTAATTTGTCACGATTGTGCTTTTTTTGATACCCCGGTGCGACGTTACTGATTATCTCGACTGATATCTAAACTGAACTAAATGGTTAATTTAAATTAATTAGCACTTCTAATTAGTTCTCGCGCTGAATAAAATTATTCGAAAAAAAAATGTAAAATAATTTGAATTGTAAAATAATTTAAATGTTGGTAGTACTGTTTGACAGAAAATAGTTGTAAATATCAAATTTATCATACTGATCATACATAATGTTTTACAGATAAGAGATAAGCAGAGGATATAATGATGAAGTTAACAATAGAATATAAAACGAAATTATAAAAGTAACAATTTATACTAATTTTATTATACTTGCTTTACTATGCTTGTTTAATCTGATTCGCTATTAAGGAAAGTTATTACTAAAGGTTACATTATTTTTTGATAATTGTCAAGCAAATATATTGCAGGAATGTGATTTTAATAATAAACACTCTCAGTACCCTTTTCCACGACTGATAAATTCAACAACTAACTTTAGCTCGAGATTGTAGAATCGTAACAATTACGTTTAGCTCTGGGTAAGCAGTGAATCGAGACAATGCAAATGCTCCGTGAAAAAAGATCCACGACACCGTTGGCTGCGAAAAAGAAGATATTTCGCGAAAGTTTCGTGTCCGCTATCTTCGATAAAACAAAGGCAACTCGCAAATCCTTGCGTAACGTCTGGCGGGATAAACTGCTCCGGAAGTATTTCGAACTTTTCACCCTCGAACGAAACCTATCTAAAACTTGTAGTATAAGACACGTGAATTTGCCACGAATTCTCTGTTTTTGCGCGTGTTCTCGGGGGCGCGATGTACTTTAAAACTAAACTTCGACTTTTCTCTTTCAGTTTTGTGGGACAAATTCGGAAAAGAGCGGATCCCTATGGGATGAATAAAGAGGACGGTACAAATTCGCTATAATTAGCCAATAATTCATGGCTTGGCGCAAAAGAAATTTGTGATTTGAAATTATTAAAAATTTCAAATCTCGTAATATAATTTATAATTCCATGTAGAAAAAGTCTTTAAATAGCACAATACATTAGAAAATAAGTAATACAAATTAAAAGAGTTATAATTAATAATTATTAAACATGATAACAGGTCGAACAATTACTAATAAGCTTTAAAGTTGTTTTACTTTCTCGTGAATTTTTTTAGACCTTTATTCCATCTTTGTCAACCTTACTAACGAAGCTTCTTATAATTTCAGGTCCACCCTCGTCGGGGTTTTCTTTACACGAAGATGCAAATACTCCAACAATCGTCCCGTACGGCGGACGTCGAGCAGTTAGGTGCATGTGCTACATAAAGTAAGTCCTTCTGTTTGCCCCACCTCACACAAAACTTTGGATTTACTGGAGACATCGCCGTCGCCTACCGGAGGCTGATGGATGTCTGTAGTGGTCAGCTGGAGAGTCCTCGAGCGTTCTCGTAGCGGCTCGTTTCCCGTTGGACGTGCGTTTTAAAAAGCCACGTCAAGATTGAAGTGGCGCCGTGTTTCCCTTCATTCCCCGGCACTTTCCGTCCTCCGCCGAGATCCGGGATTCGTGAATATTTCATACGACCGCGACAAGATTGTTATCCGAACAAACCACTTGGAGACATCTCGCTTCTTTTTGAGCCGACTCCGAAGACTTTCCGCCTTTGAAATCAGTTTTACTTTTATCCCTTCATAAATTCTCGTACAATGCGACGAGTGCTCGTTTTTACAGCGAGCATTGTCGCGACATGATAATAATTATATATTTTACAAATAACCAAATAAATGACAAATTGTCATTTTTAAGGAACAAATGCTATACAGATGTCCATCTATGCGAGAACGTTAAAGTGTTAAACTTTCTCCGTGCAAGCTCTCGCACGGTGTCCCATTATCAGCCCCATCGAAGAGTCCGAGCTCGAGGATAATTCAGTGTCGTATCGTGCGCGCATACCTACACTCGTCCTCCGCATTCTCTCTCACTAGAGCGTCGGGCACCTTCCCCTCCCGGCTTTTCGAGTGTCCTCCGTTGTCGAGAGCGCGCGCACTCCGCAGATGACCCCCGTGAGATACACACATACCTGGGTGGACCCCAGGGGGAACAGGTTCTCCAGTTCGCTCTTCGACGTACCTACGTAAACGGGACACTATGCGTGAAACGCGCGCGCATATACATATATATATATATAATATATATATGTATATATGTGGGATGCCCACCTGTGGCCGCCTCGTGAAGATGTGTGGAGAACGACGACGATGCCCGGAGTCCAGGTCGGACTTATGTAAACAGGCTTGCGTGAGGAGAGCCCCGCTGGCTGCCGTATGGCCGCGCGATACCGACACATTATGCGCTCGATGCTTTCCGCACGCTCGCACGCACATGCACGCGCGAGCCGAGCGTGTATCTCCCCCGTCTCTCTTTCGTACTCGCCCCGTTGCGAGCATCGCGTATACGACGCGAGGATACCACTTCTCGTTACGAGTCCTAAATGCAGGACTGTACTGTATAATGAAGTCCTTTACGTGCGGCACCGCGAAGTGGCGAAGTAATAGCTCGGATGAACTTCATAATTCTTCCACGAACTTTGAAAACACGTTTCATATTTTATTCAACAATTGTTTGTTTTTCCATGATTACGATCGTAATTGTGACTCGTATATCGCATCAAAGTGACAGACTTATTTACCTCTTAAACAGCTTAGATGGATATCGAGAAAACATCAATTAGGATTTCGCTAGTGTTTACATTATATAAGAGATTTCACAGAACGATAAGTTAAAAGAGGTATATAATAATACTTGGAAATGCTATTTAAACGCTATCGTTTAATTGCAACTCCAATATTCACGATAAAAGATAATATATTTCATGAAAACAGGTTATTGAGGATCAGAATTTTATGTAAATATTTGAATATTGCATATAAATATTTGAAATGTTTTATTAGAAAACTCATGACTGTTTACGTTGTATACGGTCGTTTTCGCAGAATATCCAATTATCCTGTAATATTACTGTTTTTAATTCAAATATACATTGAACGTGCCGTACGCAAAGCCTTATTAGTGTCACAATGATATCGATTAATGCCGCGAGAATAGCGAGATTCCATTTCATCCCGATGTACCGGCAAACTGCATTAGCGAAACTTCGGCAACGAGCATGAGCACAGTCGCGTTGGAGACTCGAAGACTCTCGTATCCAAATTAACGATAGATTTCCCTCAGCGTGTGTACACACATCTCGTTATGCTAACACGCGCGCGGGAATTCACTGTTAGGATTTGCACATATTCTAGTCCGCTTTAACCTGCGTTTCCGACTGACTTGATAGCGAGCAAGCGCGCACTGGAGCACGAGAATGCGTGTTCGTGCAAAGTTGCCCCGAGGCGAGTTTTCTGTTTGTGATAACTCTTGGCCGGATACCGGATGGAGCTCCCACCTCCCCACGACCAGTTCTCCCGCTATAAAAGACACATTTGAAGCATCGCGGCGCGGTGCGTTTTCGCAGGTGGAGAACGTGATTTTCTCGTGAAATAGAGAGCTCGTTTTATTCCGCCTGTGAAGTCCTCCTAAACTCCATTTCGCGCGGAGACGTTCAATTAATACGCTTGATTAAGAACTGCCACAACGATCGTCGCGATTCATCCAAAGCCATTCGTGACGTGATTGAAAAGTATTGAAATCGGATGATGCTTGCGATTTATCGTAAGTCGCGTTTCTTATACTGACAAAATTGAATTACACGATGCCATTGAGAAAGTTCATTTTTATAATGCAATGATTAACTCATCATGTTCGATTGTCAGTCGAGACTTTGACGGTGATTTCTTCCCGGGAATTAACGAATGGCATCTCATCTCGCGGATTAACTTAATTGCAGGAGGTTGGCGCGGGCCCGCGATTATGCACGTGCGAATAAATTTCTGAGTGACTTTGCGATGCGCGAAGTTGAACGACGATGAGGAGAGCGGAATGACGCAAGAGGAATAAGACGGCTTGCCTAAGGCTGTCCGTTTATGCTTGACATTTATCGGGAACGACATTTCTATCCGATATTCTTTCACGCCGCCCGTTGCTTAGGCCCCTTGTTACTCAAAGACTGTTTGTGCCGCGCACAAATTGGCGATCCCGCGATAACGCGGCCGTTAACCGCTATTGCACAAACGTTCGTGAGGTAGGTAACGATGAGGACTGGACAGTGCATAAAAACCGCGAAAACACATGGGAAGATCCGCGCGCACATTCTCCTCCTATACGTTTCTTTTTCCATCGGGCTTTTTTCCGCCCGCTATACTGTCATCATTAACCTTCTCTTATCGCTGAAGCGTAATTTCGTAGCGAGGGATCTGTTTTTTTAAACGTTTTCGCAACATTTTCTCGGAATTAAGGGGTTACGCTACCTTTGAGGTTTTAGAACGATACCTAAAGTTTGGGATTTTTTTGTGGGTAAATAGATAACTTTATTTAAAATCTGTTTAGAGGATATTATTGTACATATATAAGAAACTAAAAAATATTTTTATTTTTTATGTCTAAAATGGCAGCGCACTGGCTTACACTTGCAAAATCCCTTTTTTTCTATCGGCGTACAGGATTTCAGGTACATGGTTTGATCTTGAACAAAACACAAAGAATTTTCATTATCTACATATTAAAGACTAATGAAGTAGGGGTTTTTCAAAATATTTATTTTTCTCAAAATGGCAGCTATTTTAAGAAAGACTTGTACTGGCGAAAAATGCACATTTTTCGTAAAATAGCTGCCATTTTGAGAAAAATCAATATTTTAAAAAACCTCTACATACTTCATTAATTGTTAATATGTAGATAATGAAAATTCTTTGTATTTTTTGTTCAAACCGTGTGCCTGGAATCTTGTACACCGATTTGAAGATACAGAAAAAAAGGATTTTACGCAAATAGGCCAGGGCGCCATTTTAAACATAAAAAAAATTAAAAATATTTTTTTTTGCTTTTTTATATATATAGTATAATAATGTCCTTTAAATAGATTTTTAATAAAGTTATCTATTTACTCACAAAAAATCCCAAACTTAGGTACCTTTTAAGGCCTCAAAGGTGGCCTAACCCCTTAAAGGTCGATGATCACGGTGAAATAAGTTGTCATAGTGTCGGATGTCGTTAATGTTCAATTTCTTCAATATCTTAATTAACATAATTCCTTTTCTATATTCTTAATTCCTTTACATAATCTCTTCAATTCTTAATTTTTTTAACATAACTCCTTTTCTATAATTTTCATTAGAATTATGCACCTTTTAAATTTTATTAACGATTCTATTTGATAATGTGTTATAAATATTTTATCAAAAGATAGAATGTGTTAAAAAGTAATATTTTAATTTTAATCTTTTCGATGCAGTGTAAGTGTGCTTACCATCACTCAACACATATCATTTGTTGAATATTCAATAGAACTTATGAGTAGAACTTATGAGAGACTATTTGCATCTTATGCAAATGCTACCACATGTATCTCTGTTTTACTCAATTATACTCCACAGCCGTAGCGCAGATAATTCTACATCTATTATACAAATACATGTTCATGATTAATTACAAAATGCATGCGAACAGTGCATTCAAATGTATCGAAACGATTGATTTCAGATTAACATAAGATTAGCAAAATAATTATAAATGAAATTATACGGAAGGGAGATTCGCGATCCTATATTTTTATTTCGAGGATAAAAATAGACATATAGATACAGGTCAGCGTGGACTATTCGATCACTCCGTTCCGGCTTCGCTCTCAACGCGACATTCAAAGAGCTCCGGCAACGGAAAAGGGACGCGGGGCAATGGTTGGTCGGGGTGTCCGCGAGAAAGGTTGCGGATGTCGATTAGTATAATAATATTCGTCTGGCGCGCGCGAGAAAGTGAGTCATCGCGGACGAGCGTCGAATTAAGGCCAGCGCTCGCGAGAGAGCACGCGTCGAGACGCAATCGAACAATTGCAAGCTCGACGCGATCTCCGTTCCTCTGGTTCAATGGCCTTAAAGATTCCCTCGTGTGCAACGACCCTCTCGTGTCGCTCATATCCTTCCTACGTTTCCCAGATTATTTCATTTTCGTAAATCAAAAGCAATCGATGGATTACGAGTGTTTCCTTTGATCGCCGAGGAGAACATTGTTTTCTGATCGGATATTATTGACGCAGCAATTAATAATCATGATTGTTAACAGGGCATCAAGAGGGGATTACAAAATCATTTATCAATTCTGCCGAAACAATGTCGCAAGATTAAAGTAATATAAAGATAATATCCATAAGGTCAGGTGTTTCTGAAGAATAATTT